AAAAGGGTTTCGTGATCCGGTCTGAAACTGTGTACGTGATTCGGAATGTTCGTTGTATGAACGGGAGGGTTGAATCAGATAAAGGTATATAATGGACTCGTGAAAAGGGTTTCGTCATCCGGTCAGAAACTGTTTACGTGACTGGGAATGTTCGTTGTATGAACAGGAGGGCTTTGTGCGGGAACCGCGCGCGAGATTTGTATTAACCATTAGCTACAAGTGCGCACCTTGCAGCGCTGTGTTCTACACTATAGGTGCCCTATTAACTTAACACACAACGACTACCAAAGATCAAGCGATTTTATTGCTATTTACAAGCAATTTTTGGTACCTGCATTTCTTGTCTTTGCGCTATTTCTTAAGTGAAAAAAAAACACCAAACAAACAAACAAACAAAAAAACAACAACAACAACAAAGTTTTAGTGGTTTATTTTGGGTGAAATGTATTTCCAAAACTTTCGGTTTATACTGCGTAGATTTCGTCAATATTAAGTTTGAATTTACCTGGGAGTTTTACAGTGCACACCTCTCGTGTCTTTTAATTTCTCTCAATATCACTGCACCGAACAGAAGCTTAAGTGAATACTTCGATCAACATAAAATATTAAGCCCTGTATAACAAGACACTGATCATGAGCTGCAAGTTTTGATGAGTGCAGTGAGTGCATAAAATCTAACAGATTATTTCATGAAAATGAAATGGAAAGAAGTACCTCGGGCTAAACAAAATCTTCACAGCCGGCAAAGATCTACATCGCTCCGTTTGGGTCTGCATATCAATACTTGTGATAAGACTATGGAGTGTCATCATTATACAAGATTCAGATGATACAACAGGGAATGGATTAGCATCCTTATTCAGCAAGTCATCGTTTATTCTCGCATCAAACCAACTAAAGCTCCTATCAACTATTATAGTAACGTTGTGGGAAATTTCCATCCTGCGATTAAACTCATACATGACATTGAAGTGAATCCTAGTTCTGATGCTGATTCTTCAAGGAAAATAAATTGTCTGTACCTCAACGCAAGGATAGGAGTATTGTTAACATGATGGAGTTAAAGCACTTGCGGCAGATGTAGATATACTTGCAGTGACTGAATCCTGGCTTAAACCATCTATAGTGAACTGCGAACTTCTATCAGGCGCTAATTTTGTCATTCCACAGAAGAGACTGATTAAACAAGTAGAGGGGAGGAGGACTTTTGCTTGCTCTTCGAAATTCAATCAATAACTTACGCCGGAAAGATTTTGAGGGAAACGCAGAAGTAATTGTTTGAGTTGTTTGTGAAATCCGTTCAGCCTAATTTTGCCTCAAGAAACTACTACGAAAACGATTTCCAAGAACTTAATCTCTTCAAACACTGGACTATTACCTTAACTCGTTTCTACCTAGATCTATCAAACTAGAAACTGGAACTCGCTACTAATACACTGAAAATGAGTGATGTAAGCCTTTCCAAATTTAAGGAACGTGCATGTGACCACCCATTTTGCTTTCAAAATGGAACATTACTTACCACCTTAAAATCTTTTGAATTTAAATTTTGATATGTTTTTCTTTTTATTATTGTTTTTCCTCGTCAATTTTAATGTTAATCATGTTTGTACTGTATGTAAGTTGTAAGGAGAGGAAATATCAATTGGGACGAAAGTTCTGTTTTCTTCGTCAGTCACAAAATTTGTATGTCTCAAGTTTTATAAAATGTATATGTTTATATTGTGACAAATAAACTAAACTAGACTAAACTAAACTAAATTGGTAAAGAAGATTCTCTGTCAATACCCGGTCCAAGGCAGCTCACTATATTCAAGCGGGAATATCGTAACGTCCAGATTTAAAGTCTCTAGCTGTTATCCATAAAGTGTTGACAGCGATACCCCGAAAAGTTGGGGAAGCACTTACACTTGTAGCGCTTACCCATCTCACTACACGAATCGATGCATCTTCCATTATAGCACGGATTACTTGATGAACAACAGGACAAACGAGAGGAGCAGCTTGGGCAACCAGGAGCGACCTGAAAAACAATGTTAGCCGTTGTATTATTTATTATTTATTTTTATTATTCATTTTTAGTCTATCAAGAAATGTAGCTGATGTCTGAGTGACCTCTCTATTACGGAGTCTTTTTGGTGCCACTGGCTCATTCACTTTTTTCTGGCGACGTTTTTGGCCACTGATCAATTTCCCGAATTCGTTTGAGTGATAAAGAAACAATGTTTCGAAGTCAAGGTTGGACTTGATGTGTTTATACGACAGCCTCACTCAAGTGAATTTTGGAGAGACGTGAATCATATGATAAAGTGACTTCTGCAAATGCAAAGCATTTCTTTTTTTGGTTACACGTTCATATTCTAGACGAATACAATGGTTTTAGACAGCCTCACACTCTCAAGCGATTTTGGGAGAGACGTGAATCATATGATAAAGTTACTTCTGCAAATGCAAAGCATTCTTTTTTTGGTTACAAGTTTATGATCTAGACGAATACAATGGTATTGTAGTGTATTGTTTTATATTGTATGCACTGTCTTGTCTTCTATTGTTCTATTGCTTATAGTTTCTTCCTTTGTTACTTGTTCAAATTGCTTCTCAGTAATATAAGATGTAGGTAAAATCATTGATAACAATATGGTAATCTATTCCGGCTGAACCAATTAAAATCTTTCCCCACAAACAACTGCAAGGATACGAAGCAGTTTTCTTTTCTCTTTACAGGATAGTAAACAATTTATAATTAATTTTCCGCGATCAGATTTTAAAATTTTGAGATATTCTAACGGGTAATTTGTTGAGCTTGTGTAATCTAGCAACGGTAACTAAGGAGATTTAGAACCATCTATCACGCGACCATCACAGAACAATTAAAAATGATCAGGCCTGCCGTTATTTACGTTGGAAAATTTAGTTTAAAGCTAGTTCCCTGGGTCGCTGAAAAAACGTCACTTGATTTTTCTAACCTGTCTTTGAAGATTAAAGAAAAGTGATCCATTCGTTGGCTTGACAGCTGAAGGATCTCCGTGTATATCTGCCCTATTGAGCTCACACACACCTCCTGGCCCGCTCTGGGAACGTCGCCAAAAATTGAACGACTCACAAAGGCAATTCTTGTGGCACCGAATGAAGCACTCAAATACGCTGGAGACGTTTTCTGAATCAATCTCTCTTCCTTCCATTGCGAAGTTCAACATGACGTTTTGATTGGCGTTGAAATGAACTGTTTCACAAGAAGGACATGCGCAGTGACATTGGATTATGAAGGTGATGGACAGTGATGAATAGATAAGTAGGACGATGCGTCGTAGCTCCATCGATCTATAATGAAAGGTAGAATAACACAGGTAACCCAACATCAGTTTATCTGACTAATTAAAAACAGTTTGGATGCCACACTCGACTTTAGTACCCTGCCATGCTTACTGCGCATGCACGACGAAATGCCAGGGACTCTGTAAAACACTTTGTGCGTGGTAGCCAAAAAAATTTGGCATATGATTACCCAGGTCGAAAATAAGTTCCAACAGCGAAGAAACGTGATGTTTTCTAGAATTTTGACTGGGAGATTTTTTTATCGCGCAACGCGATTGGATTGGTCTGGTAGTGTCGTGATCCTGGTGTGTCCGTGCCCGCGCCGGGTTCGTGCCGTGTTTCGTGCATTTGTATGATTGGATGGAGAGGAAATTCTCGTTCAGTGATTGGGCTAGTCGTGTCACTACCGTGTTCGTGCCGCGAGCTTCTCACAATCATACAAAGACTGCTCTTGCAGTTTGTGACACGGCACGTGCGTATCGTAAGTCTTTCAACAATCATGAAGCATCTTTACCGACTTGAAGTCGACGTGTTTAATTATTCAAGATCAAGTGCGCTAAAACCTGCTAACACATCGGTACCGGCGTGATCTGACTGAAATGCACATCTTCCCCGAATTCACTTCATATTGACGTCTAACGATCGTTTGATGTGCAAACAAAAAAAATTCACCCCACAAAAATCACATGCGAAAATTCAACTAAAGAGTCTAAAACGAGCTTCTGCCGTTCATTTCACTTTTCCTCGGTTGTCCCCGGCTGATTTTCCTAGCAAAAAAACTAATTTAGGTTCACTTATCCTTTCTTGAAAAATGAAGATCGAAAAGCTAAGGCAATTTTACAAAAATTGCAGTTGACGAATAAAGTCATCGTTTTAGAACTGAAGTTGGTTTATTTAAAAAATCTGTTCTTAAATTGAATTTGCTTTTATTGTACACCATATCCAGTGAAAATGTTTAAAAAAAAATCAGTGGTAAGAAGCAGTTTTACGATAAAAATTATTCTGATCGACTGATGGTCAAGCGAACAAAGACTTCGCGAGCGGCGTCACAATATTAATAAGTACTTACCTCGTATTCAGACTAACCTTGAATAAGATTTTCCCTTTTTTATATATGAAATCGTAAGACCATTTCCTTCTAAAATACTCAAAGGTTCAGCAGTTATTCGTTTTCACTTTTAGTAATTTGCAGAAGAAATTTTGGTAAGACAAAAAGCACTTGGGATTAGTTCAGTTTTATCGCAATAAGAAGTAAACGCAAATTAATTTATTTAATAAAACAACAGAACAAAAATTACGTCTTAAAAATGACGAAATAGTTTGCTTAAGATAATACAATGTCACTAGAGGCTGTTGTTGATTGGTTTAGAGAACTGAGAGCGTGTTGAGTCAAAACCTGTGAAACAATTACAAGGTTATATATGTCGGACCGTCCGTTAGTCTTACCCAAAATTCTTATAGTTTATCTGCATGGGATAAAAGTGCGCATGACTGCGCTAAAGCTGTTGTCAGGGAGAATAGCATAATACAGCGGTTTTCCTTTAAGAAGGAAACGTACGGTACTGGCTTACAGCACTTGCACTGTACGACAAATGGCTTCCTATATCAAAGAATGGTTATCCTATAAGTGGCAAGCGTAGGGTACTGGCTTACAGCACGCACACGGTACAACATGCATGCCGTATCATGAAAATGACTTCCCATTATCTTCCAGCTAGTAATTCATCCAATCAAAGCGCGTATTATTTACTGCTACGTTTCCCACTTACATGAAAACCGCTCATCCGTCCAGCCCTAGCGCATTTGAATAGGATTTTTAACCAGGCTACTGATGGTTCGTCTTGGTACATGGAATTGCACGCTGGGCTCGCGCGCTTCAAAAAACAGCGGCTTTAATTGCGTGCGGTACTAATGACGTTTGTCAGAAAGGATCACATGACAAAAGCTATGGGCTTGGTTATACGAACAGTGGGGAGCGCTATTCGATTGATAAATCCTTATCCAGTGGATAAGTCGATGCTGTTATCCAATAAATTTATCCACTGGATAAGATTTATCCGTCTCTAGCGCTATCCACCCTTCGTGCAACTGGGCCCTGATATATATATATATTATATTTGGTTGGTTTGGCTTTCAAATTATCTTTCTCAGGTTTTGTTCACTGAAGTATCATGACAGCAGATCATTCGTCATTGGGTTAACATGCTACGGTACTAATGGCAATGAGCGCTATTAAAGTTAAATCAAACCACACTAATAATACTTATTGGGGTAACATGCTATGAGTACTAGTGGCAATGAGCGCTATTAAA